AAAATTCACAAAACAACTGCTGGTATGGCAGGTGATCTCCCTTTGTGAATTAAGCAATTTGACACAAGAAATCAAGGTTTCTTATGTTTCATTTGTGACTGTCCATTCCTTCCAGGATAAGGATATAAGGTGTTAATGAACATTACTGATCAATTTACAGTTTTTAAAACTGCATTTAAGTTCTGAAAGCAAGACCACTTTAAACTCAATATTTAAAAAAATAATTTACCCTGTACCGAGGGATCCCTTAACATGAAGCATGGTGACGCTATTTAAGTTATTCTGTTCTCAACACAGGAGCTTGAGTTGCTCAAAACATACAGCTGGTAAATGACAGAGCCAGCATGATGATACTGTTTTTTACTCCAGAGTGTAGTGTTCCACCTGCTACACCACACTGTTGACTTTACTCTAGCTTTTTTAAAGGTTTTGTTCTTATTCAGAGATATAAATGGAGATTTTATTTTTATTTTATTTATTTTTGGCTGTGTTGGGTCTTCATTGCTGCGCACGGGCTTTCTCTAGTTGCAGCGACTGGGGGCTACTCTTCATTGCGGTGCGCGGGCTTCTCGTTGCGGTGGCTCCTCTTGTTGTGGAGCATGGGCTGTAGACACGCCGGCTTCAATAGTTGCAGCACACGGGCTCAGTAGTTGTGGCTTGTGGGCCCTAGAGCGCACAGGCTTCAGTAGTTGTGGTGCACAGGCTTAGTTGCTCCCCGGCATGTGGAATCTTCCCAGACCAGGGATTGAACCCATGGCTCCTGCATTGGCAGGCAGATTCTTAACCACTGTGCCACCGGGGAAGTCCGGAGATTTTAATTTTAGATAGAACACCTAGTAATTTATTGCAAATATTGCCAAGTTGTTATTTTACACCGTTTGACAGCAGAAGCTCTGAGGGCACACGTGGGTTCTAGTCCCAGTTGCCCACTTGTGAAGTTCCCAAAAGTGAAGTTGCTTTACTCCATTTCCTTATTTACAAAACAAGGCTAATGCCGTAAAGATTAAATGAGGTACCAATTCCTATAAAGCCTGTAACCCAGGGCAAGGCATTGAACAATCAGTTACTAAATGGTGACCCCCTTTTTTAGCTAAAATTGTGAAATAGCTCTCTATGCAATTCTGATTTAAAGCCTTCTGAAACTTACATTCTCATGGGAGAGACAAACAAGGTGAATAACTAAAATATATGCATACTGGTGATATGTACTGAAGAGAAAAAAGAAAGCTGAGAAGGGGGATATAAAATATTGGGGAGGAGTTGAAATTTTAGGTAAGTGGACAGGTAAGACCTCAACAAGAAGGGGACTCTTGACTAAGCACCTGAAGAATAAGAAGGTGCTATCTGTGAGGATGTCTAAGGGAAGAGCAAGTGCAAAGGCCCTGAGGCAAGAGAGTGCTTGGTTTGTACAAGGAACTGGATGGAGGATGGTGAGGCTGGAGTAGAATAAATAAGGGATAGAATAGTAGAAGATGAGGTCAGAGGTAGCAGTGGGCCAGTTCATAGGTCATGTTGGGTCTTGTAGGTTATAGTAAGGATACACAGGAGCAGCCATGATCTGACATATTCTATTTATTTATTTATTTTAAACATCTTTTTTGGAGTATAATTGCTTTACATTGTTGTGTTAGTTGCTGCTGTATAACACAGTGAATCAGTTATGTGTATACATATATCCCCATATCCCCTCCCTCTTGCATCTCCCTCCCTCCCACCCTCCCTATCCCACCCCTCTAGGTGGTCACAAAGCAGCGAGCTGATCTCCCTGTGCTATGAGGCTGCTTCCCACTAGCTGTCTGCCTTACGTTTGGTAGTGTATATATGGATCTGACATGTTTTAAAAGGATCCCTCTGGCTTCTGTGTTGAGCAGTAGACTATTAAAGGGGCAGTGGGGAGCAGAGGAGGGTGGCCAACAAGGTCAGAGCATGGAGACCAGTTAAGAGGCTAAGGTAATAACCAGAGCATTACAGTATCCATCTTAATGGAGTAATTGTGATGTGTTCGGCCATTGAGATGATTGAGGTTTCTCCTGTTCCCCTGCTGCATTTATAAATGCTGAGAAGGATGGGAGTCAGATCATTCTGGAAGTTGTACCGTCCTGGTTTTTTATTTCTCTTTAGTAGATTGTGGCACTGTATAACAGTCCCATTTGCATATAACTTTATCTGTGACCTGCATGTCTCGGAAGTTTTCTTGCAAAGGAAGGGAGCACTTCATAAAATAGATGATCTTAGGACTTCCCTGGTGGCGCAGTGGTTGACAGTCCGCCTGCCGATGCAAGGGACACGGGTTCGTGTCCCGGTCCGGGAGGATCCCACGTGCCGCGGAGTGGCTGGGCCCATGAGCCATGGCCGCTGAGCCTGCGCATCCGGAGCCTGTGATCCGCAACCGGAGAGGCCACAGCAGTGAGAGGCCCGCGTACCTCAAAAAAAAAAAAAGATGATCTTTGTCACTTGTCATACTGGAGCGGTCCCTGGTCATCATCCCATGGCAACGAGGCTGAACTGAAGTACTATTGCACTGTGACAGTTTTCAATTCTGACACTCTCAGCCAACTGAAAGAAAGGTAGGTTACTAAGGCTGATGAGCCCCATTGAGCCAAATACAGACCACAGAACAGTGCTTCTCCCCCTCCCTCGGCAGACGTCACACGGAAAAGGGAGCCCTCTCGGTAGGGTGTCACCATGCTATTTATTCTCCATCAAGCTGAAGCTTTACTTTTTCTTTCTTTCAGACCTTTTTGATTAGGATTTGCTTCTTATGGCCTTTAAAATTTGTGCTGTATTTCAAAGTTGCCTGAAAAATTATTTCTGTGTATAGATATCAGAAAATCAGAGTAACCTAATTTACTAAACTGAGATTCAACTTCAGACATGTGACCTTTACACAAACTGCATGAAATTCTCAAATAAAATTAATTTTAATTTGTGTATCTGCAACATAAGGGTAGATCATGAGTATTATAAATCAAACCCAACGCGAGTGTCACAACTGCAAAAAGGATAGAAATAATTGATTTACATCGGCATGGCTTAGCTGCTGCTGATTCAAAACTCCCTTTGATTGCCTCTCAAGGATCTGTAGGAGTTGTGATCATTTTGACCAGTGTTGGATCAAATATGAATAGATATCGTGCAATTTAGTATCATCATAGGATGTCAGTAACATATGCTCATTATAAATTGAGTATATTGTCAATTTAATTACACACATTTCACGTTTTCCTTAGGTGGCAAAGAAGCTAGGTTATCATTTTATACACTAATAATATAAAGTCTCAAATATTGAGATGTCTGTTCATATGATTTATATTTTTATTTCCACGATGGCTTTCCCACAGCTCTCATGTCACTAGGTTCACGAATACCTGTAGTGGCGTGTGGAAGGGAGGGAGGATAGCCCTTTTTTACAGCTAAGTAAACTTCAGTGTTTAGGAACAGCTTCAAGATCAATTAACTGTAAAGTGAGTGACCTGAGGCTTTGGATTCTTAGCCTAGAGCCCTAACCCCGCACCATCCCATTTTCATTAGCCCTTGTGTAGTCTTTTTCAGATTTGTGGAGTGCTAGTAGTTGTAGGATAAATACAGATATTTTGCAGGAGGGTTAATTCAATAGCAGTAAACAGAGATGGCAGTGTTCTTTTGTTTGAGATATCTAACTAATGCATTTCTGTAGATGTCTTACTGATGTCCTCTTGGAAACTTGTGTTAAATCCAGAAATGCATCAACACATGCTTTTTGTTTTTTGTGGTACGCGGGCCTCTCACTGTTGTGACCTCTCCCGTTGCAGAGCACAGGCTCCGGACGCGCAGGCTCAACGGCCATGGCTCACGGGCCCAGCCGCTCCGCGGCATGTGGGATCCTCCCGGACCAGGGCACGAACCCGTGTCCCCTGCATCAGCAGGCGGACTCTCAACCACTGTGCCACCAGGGAAGCCCAACATGTGCTTTTTAAAGATAGAAAAATCTTCACAAACATAACGTTAAATGAAAGAAATAAGTCACGAAACAGAAAATACAATATACTTTCCCTTAGAGAAAATTCAATTACAGGCAAATGAAGCTGGGGTGTTAGGAGTCAGGATAGCAGTTACCCTTTTGGGGGGCTGTGTGGTTGAGGGGTGCTGAATTGACCTGGGTGCTAGTATTCTAGGAATTCCCTTGGGAAGGTTTATTGACTTTTCATTTTTAAGGAAAACCTGTCTTAACTGCCTTAGGTGGTAGTTAGTTTAAATGCTTTTGACTTGAAGAGCAGTCCTTAAGCGTTTATTATGATTATAACCTGCCATTTCCCAACAAAAGTGAATTACCCTTTTTTGTTGTTATTGTTGCTGCTGTTCCTGAGACCGTCACATTTCTTTGGAGTTCTTGGTGTTTTCTTGTCATAGAACCAGCTACTGGAGCCATGGTGAAGTTCATCATAAAATGCTTGCCAAAACAACTTTCTTGCTTACACTTTTTAAGATGTTACAGGAAGAAGGGTATTGACGAGGGCTCCCCAGTTAGCATGTTAATCTGTATAAAAACAGACACTGCTAGAAATGTTTTCACGGGACTTTGATAAGCTCCAAGCAGAGCTTCAGTCAGCTTCTTATAATTTAACAATTTCACACTGATTTTTTTTTCCCCCATATAAATGGTTTCCGAAGAGCACAGATAGTTGAGCAACAAAAGCTCTGTCATTTTCAAACTGTTCTTTGAGGTCAGAGCCTAAAGGAAATGAGATTGAGGCTTAAAAACTTTTGTGGGTCAGCAAAACCTTTTGCAGTCCTCATGGCTTAGAGACTAAGGCCTCTGCAAATCATATATATTATGGGTCATACTCAAGGTGATGAACACTTCTCTTGCAAACCGTTGCTTCTGTCCCTAAATGTGACCAATTTTTTTCTTTATGGCTTGCTTCAAATCAGTTAAAAAATTTTTTTAAAGAAATGTATTTTTAAATGTTTCTGCCAGCATTTACACATACTATGGCTTCCTCTCACTTTTTTCCCTGCAGTGTTCTATCTCTTCGTCGGAAGAGGAAAGACTTTCTACCAGGAGACCTAAAACGCCAACCTCAAGTGACTTCTCTGACTTTAATACTCAAACCAACTGGACCAAATCACTTCCCTTGCCAACACCGGAAGAGAAGATGCGACAGCAGGCCCAAACAGTCCAGGCTGATGTAGTTCCTATTAACATAACTGGTATGCTTTGCTCTGCAGACAGGTTCCAAATGTTCTGGGAGAATGACTATGGCTCTTTGTTTGTTATATGCTCTTAGCATGTCATTTATACATCACAGGTAAATAGCTGTGGTCTGACTTCCTGCTCTTTGTTTAATGAAGGGAATACTAAAACATATATATGTGTGTGCATGTCAAATATATATTGCTTTTAGATTAGAAGACTCTATGTCATCAAAAGTTGATGTCAAAGAACTCAGTGGTCCAGCCATTCAGCTGAAGTGTTTCTTTTAATTGATTTGCCTTCTAAAAATATTTTGGCCATATGGGAATATCTTCCAAATGTGATCTTGGGTAAGAAAAAATTAGGTTTACCTTCTGAAGGGCTATTTTAACTGATTTTTAGAAGTGAAGATATAACACTTCAGTGATATTTCTGAATGATTTGCTTACCTTCTTGTTTTCTCAAGTAGAAAAAGAGAAAAATTACTTGAAATAAAAATATCAAGTGAATTAATAATAACTATAAATATATTTTTTAAAAAACTTAATAGGGTGGTAAAATTATATCTTGAGCTCCATAATTTGAATTCTATAACCGTCAAATAAAAATCCATTCCTTCTGAATTTAAAAATATCATCTATGATAATTAAAGTGACAACAAGGTACATAAAGTTCAACGACAGTATTTCACAAATGTAGAAGAACTGTTAAAAGATATCAAAGCTTTTGTACTTTATCACTTCCATAGCCTGCAGAGAAGCTAGGTCAGTGGTTTGGGGAGTGTACAAAATGCAAAATAGACACGTTAAGAGTTAGTAGCTTCAGCCATTAGACTATGTGTTCAAGAGAAATAGTTTACTGATAGTTATATTGATAATCAGTCCATACAAAGCCTGGCTTATAGGGCCAGAACCTAAAAAAAATCAGGTGACCAATAAGGATAAGTTTTTAAAAAATTAGGATGAAAACCCATAGCACCCTTGCTATGTTTCTGAGGCAACTGCTCTTGACTACTTAGAAAGCTTTTTACCATGGCATTGGTGGGACTAAAAGCATTTTGTAAGGGACTAAAAACATTCTGTAAGGAACTGAAAACATTTTGATAGTTACTGATGAACTTTTTAAAACCTTACAGGATGTTTAAAAATTACATTTAAAACTCTATTTTGAATTCCAGAGAAATTTAATAAATAAGTACCTGAATTATTTTAAATTCCATGTGCATTTTTCCATATTTGCTATACTTAAGCCTTAAAGGAATAGCATGGCATTTCATTCCATTTTGTATAAAAATAACATTGATTTTTCTGAGCGTGATTCTCATTTACCTAGATCATATTTTATTTTTATTTATTTATTTATTTTTTTTGCGGTACGCGGGCCTCTCACTGCTGTGGCCTCTCCCGTTGCGGAGCACAGGCTCCGGACGCACAGGCCCAGTGGCCATGGCTCACGGGCCCAGCCACTCCGCGGCACGCGGGATCCCCCCGGACCGGGGCACGAACCCGCGTCCCCTGCATCGGCAGGCTGACTCTCAACCACCGCGCCACCAGGGAAGCCCTAGATCATATATTTTAAAGATATTTTTATACGTAGTTACGTTTCAGAACAAAGTACAATGTTTATTGCTCAATGAAATACATGGTGCATATTTTCTACAAGATAATGCATTACATTATTTGATTGAGTAAATGCAGCAGAAATGTAATTACATTATATATGATTAAATGCCTCAGAAATAATATTATAAGATAAGATTGTGCTATGAAATGTGACAGTCCTTAATGGCATTAGGGTAAAATGCATTATCGTGAAATTAGGAAATTTAAAACAGAGTAACTAGAGTTTCAGGAATAAAGAATAATTTGCAGTGAAATACATTGTCACAACAGCAGACACTGTCAGTCTCTTTGAACTTAATTCTCTCCTGTGTGACGACTAAGTGGATATGAATTACATAGAGTTTAAAAGGAGGGCTTGAAAATGCCACACAGGAAAGGTGAATGACAATAAACAAATGAGCAGTATGAGTTAGGAAAAAATGCAGTTTAATTCTGAGTGGTTAACGTTTTTGGAAATGTAGAAAGCAAATACCTAATTATGTATTTATTGATCCATTTTCTAGATCCGTGTGTTCACATATACACACACATTTCATAAAGAAGTAATTTTTCTAATATTCTGGAATAAATAAGCATTAAATTTAAAATGTTTACTTTTAGTGGTTGAATTGACATAGGTTATACAACTTCCTGCTCTTTAAACGATATATTTCTAAAGCCCTAGAAGACTTTTGAAATAAAAATGTAGCTTCCTGTAGGGCATTGCCATGTGTTCATTTTTTTGGATGAACATTGACCTTCTATTTGGTTTGCAGTACAGTTCAGCAGAGGGGAGAATGCCAATAAATATATTATTTCAAATCCAGAGAGATGCTCGCCAGGCATAGAGGTAGAACATTAGCACAGTGATCTGCTGGCTTGAAAATCAATTTAATCCCTTTAGTCATAGTCCTGTGGGACTCGTCATGTTCTAAGAGTTGAGAAAAAAATGTTTAAAATAAAATGTACATATGAGTATGTCCCATAGTCGGCCATGTGGGATAACAACTCTTCCACCTGGAAGATAAATAGAGTGGGTAAACATACTTAAGCACTTCTTACAAACTGCCTTTGTACTGATGTTCGAGCTAGCTAAATTGATTTCTAAGTAGTAACCATGACCAACTAATGCCATTTTTCAATGAAAGGGAATAATTAAATTCCTCTCAATTCAGTAGATATTTACTGAATAACTGCTTTGTATCAGGCATTGAGCTGAATGCCACAGGCGATGCTACAGTACATGATTACGGACCCTACCCTCCAGAAATGTATAATCCAGTGGGGGAGACAGTCCTTTTAGGTCACGATTCAAGATGGAGTGTCGGCGCCAGTAATGGTGTATGTCTTAGATGTTCATCTTCATGATTTGTTTCTTAATTTCTTTGGAGCTTGGGTGGTTTATCTTTGTTTTGGTTTAGGAAGCAAAACTGGAGACTAAATGCAGCTATCCGTTAATGTTCTGTCCATTCTTAATGGCTTGATCCAAGAAAATATTTTTCCTCTGCTTCAGGGAACTAGTGGACCAGTGAACTCCTGACTTGTCCCTTACAAGCGCCATGTATGCTATTGTACATAGTGACCCATTTATCACAGTGATGGTACCTTCCAGCGTTTCAGGGTCTTCTCTAAGTCATTTCTGTTTTTCTCCATTAGGAACAGAAGTGTGAGCATTTTCAAGTTTGCAAGCGCTTATCTAAGTTTGTTGCTTTGTAGGTGAAATGTGTTTTGATCATTCAGATCTTTTATCCTCTGTTTTGACTAGAACCTTATTGGTTCTATTCACAATTTATTCCCATTAAAATAGAAGATAAATTGTTTACAACATACCCACTTTGAATGTGCGTCAATATTGCTAAAAAGAGTGAATAATTTTTATACTTTTCTTAGAACATAAAAGTATGTATTTTGTGTATGTATTTTTTTTAAATCTCTTTGAGAAGAACCATTTAACAAGGTCAATACTATAAAACTTTCTTTAATTAAACTGATAAATTTAAAGCAGACCAATCAATAACTGATACGTTACTATTTTATGGTTTCCCATGATGTGTGAATCACACAGCTTACACGCTAGAAAGAAAAAGAGTCCTGTGGATGTGGCATTCTGGGTTTGGTTTCAACATAACTGAAATGAGTTTAGATCAGCTTTAAAAAGTGATTCAGAAACGGCAAGAAGCAGTTCAGCTTTCACAACATCAGTGCTTCTGGGTCTCACTGTGATAAAAGTACTTTATCATTATAAGGCTTTTTCTTTTCCATTATCATTGTATCTCACACCATAGCAATTACCACAGTCTATCCAAATTATCAGCCTCCTGGATGGAAGAAAAAGCTCTTCATCCAAAATTCTTGATTTGTTTCATCACATAGGACAAGACATTACATTGGTCTCTGGAGAGGACCAGATGAGTCAAAGGTATTCATCGCTGGCACTGCATACACACTGAGGTTAAGCGTGATTTCAGTGACCAGAAGACCTTTGTAAAGTACTTCCAAAATGATACGTTTTTTAAAGAACACAAAATCACTTTTCCAGTGTGTTATTCACCAGTTTGTATTTGCCACTCCAGCTCATTTGCAAATGAGCTCAAGGTGCTTCCTTCGGAAGGACACACACGTGGAAGTTGGAAAATAGCCTTATGGTGCTAATGTGCTTGCCTTCCTTTTTTGCCCTTCAGCATTCATTCATCATCGTACGACTGGCTAACATCATTATTAATACCTTCTTATCATTTTACAACAAGCTTCTGGAAGAAAGTGCATGGTGTCGCCTTGCTTGAAAATAACCTTGCTTTGCTTGTTCTACTGCTCTACATTAGGGGAGAATTTCGATCGCCAGGCCAGCCTTCGGCGGTCTCTAATTTACACAGACACTCTGGTAAGACGACCGAAGAAAGTCAAAAGGAGAAAGACTATTACAGGAGTCCCTGACAGCATACAGAAGGAGCTAGGTATGGCTCATCAGAACTGTATTCTGTTGCCCCTCATTGCTACTCACCATTACTACGCTAACCTCATCGGTGGTGCTTATGAAATTGATACATTCTGATAGCCTTTTGGTACCCCAAAGGGCCAGCTTCTTTCCTGAACGAAGCACTGGGTACAAATCTTAACATCCCATGCAGATGATGTATTCAGTTTTGTTGAGAAGGTAAGAGAAGACTATTAATTGGGATGATAGAAATTTAAGTTATGTCATCATCTCTATGTACCTTGAACAGTGGGCATTCCCACAATAAAATTGACTTTCAATTTAGAGCTTAAGTCTTCATGAAACCAAAAACTTATTCTAGGACTTCAAATTATGAATAGAGACTTCATTAGCTGTACCGACAATATCGGTGGCATTTTGTCATCAGAGACAGCAGTATAGCATAATTAGTAAATACCAGTACAGTAGAAAATAGTCACTTATGTGGGCTGGTGCTTTATTGGTACTTCGGTGAAACAATTTCATAGCTTTTTGATTCAGTATTTTTCAACCTTTGATAAAAAAAAGAAAATGAAAAATACTTTCGGCTGGTGGAGAGGGTGATTTACTTCGTTATTCACTCATACATTTTGTTTCTGCTTCTCTTTATATATGCTTTGGATAATCCTTTCCTTCTTTTCTTTCTATATTCACTTCCTCTCCCTGTTTTTTCATGGCCCATCAGGAATGTCTGCCGAGATAGCAGGGCTAAGAGCAGGGGCTCTGGTGCCAGGCTGCTTGGATTTAAATCCTATCTCTGCCAGTTACTTGCTGGGTGGCCTCAAGCTGCTTACTTCACCTCTCTGAGTCTACTTTTTCATTCAAAAAATGTGGCTGGTGATGTTACTAGAACCTACCTCATAGGGTTGTTTGAGGATTTAATGAATTTATACAGATGAAGCACTTGGTGCCTGGTACTACTATAAACATAATAGCTACAATTACAGTTATTGTATTCAACTAAATACTACCTATCTCGAAACTTGCCTTTTTCTTTTTGGCCAACCTGTGGACTTCTTTCCTTGTAATTACTTCACCTGGTCTTTTTACTTTTATTTGCTATTGAGGGCTATACTCTAGAAACTCCTAATCATTATTTCTGAACTTGCCTATTAGTCTTTTAATCAAAATGAGTTTATCCTAGCAATATTGGTATATGTTATAGCAGTTTGAGGTAGCATTTCAACATCCAGGTGCCACAGACATACTCTTGTGTGTTTTTTCCTAACACCCTTACCTAAATGCTTTGTATTAGGGAAGGAAGTCTCACTCTTCTGCACCCCGCGTCTTCTCTCTTACTGCCATCCAGTTCTACAGCATGTGGTCTCTGCCTTCCAGACTGTAACAGCAATGGGACAAGAGTAGCGATGCTTCTCCTCTGCTCTAGGTAGCTCCAGTAACCCCGATGACATACGGGTGCTCATCTTATCCCATAACACAGGAGTTTAATCACAAACAGGCAAGATTGCATCCACAGGATTTATGAAAGTTGCTTCTGGTTCATGCCCTCACATCTGCCTCCTTTAGTGGGCCAGGGCTCCTGTATCCCATTCTTTCAGGCTCTATTTTTCTCTCTCCTTTAGATAACAGCTAACTAACTTGAGAAAAAATAATATGTACTAGTATGTTCAGCAGATATTAATGGGCTAAGTTTTTACAGAACTCAGGTAATATTTATATTTTAACTGATCTTCTAGGAGATGAGCCTTAACCTAAAAAAGTGACTTTAAAGACAGCTCTTTGCAAGATAACAAGGTTGATGTTTCCAGGTAGGCTACATTTTGAGTGGCTTTCCAACCAATATGGGTAGGTTTTGGATGGCTTTGTGCAGAGTATAAGAATAGTTTGGCCTGAATAAAGATAGACATACACATAAGTATTCAATATGAATTATCTATCTATCTATCTGTCCATCCATCTATCTATCTATCTATATTTCCAGAGCCTCAGAGTTAAGAACTTTTATCACTTTTATTACTGAACCAACCAGTATGGAGCCAGTAACTCAGTTGCCTCTTTGACCTTACTGGAAGGATCTGATCAGCTAGGTAAATCATATCTTCTGTAATTTTAATATTTTTAAAATCAATGATAGAGTCTCTAGGGTCTGCATTCATTTCTCTTTTGCCCGTAACATAGGAACACCACTAATCCTAAGGGAAAGACAATAGCTTTCCCTACACCATCTGTGTTGTGAGTGTTACCAGATGTGAGACAGTTGATGTCATTGCACAGTTGATGACATGTCTTGGATCACCGCTGGAGGTCAACTGAGACAGCTGTATCTAAGTTAGAGCTAGTTTTTTTAAAATAAGACAATTAGACAACCACTCCAGGTTTTTTTTTTTTGCGGTACGCGGGCCTCTCACTGTTGTGGCCTCTCCCGTCGCAGAGCACAAGCTCCAGACGTGCAGGCTCAGCGGCCATGGCCCACGGGCCCAGCCACTCCCGGACCGGGGCATGAACCTGCATCCCCTGCATCGGCAGGTGGACTCTCAACCACTGCGCCACCAGGGAAGCCCCCACTCTAGTTTTATAGATAGGGTAGTTGGAAGGATTCGTGGGTAGAGTGAGGGAAAGTAACATTTGAATACAGTAACATATAGCAAAAAAATTAGATCTTTTCTTCGTTCATTTGGACAAAGGTTGACCTTGCCCTTTCTTCTAATACTTTGTACTTATAAGGTGTCTGATTGGAAAGCTTTGTGCTACCTAACTAATGATTATCAAAAATAGACACTTCATGTTTTCTTTAAAAATTAGTCTTCCTGGGCTTCCCTGGTGGCGCAGGGGTTGAGAGTCCGCCTGCCGATGCAGGGGACGCGGGTTCGTGCCCCGGTTCAGGAGGATACCACATGCCGCGGAGCGGCTGGGCCCGTGAGCCATGGCCGATGAGCCTGTGCGTCCGGAGCCTGTGCTCCGCAATGAGAGAGGCCACAACAGTGAGAGGCCCGCGAACCGAAAAAAAAAAAAAAAAGTTAAAAAAAAAAAAATTAGTCTTCCTTAGATATAAAGCATAGGGAAGGATGGCTGAGTCAAACAAGTTAGATTTTTAAAGGATACGATTATCTGAAAGAAAGACATTTAATAGGAAAGATGCAACCTGTCCACTAAACACTGCCCAAGTTGTTGGGACTTTGGATTTTTTTTTTTTTTTTTTTTTTTTTTGACGCTACGCGGGCCTTTCACTGTTGTGGCCCCTCCCGCTGCAGAGCACAGGCTCCGGACGCGCAGGCCCAGCAGCCATGGCTCACCGGCCCAGCCGCTCTGGGGCATGTGGCATCTTCCCGGACCGGGGCACGAACCCGTGTCCCCTGCATCGGCAGGCGGACTCTCAACCACTGCGCCACCAGGGAAGCCCGGGACTTTGGATTTTTAAAATCTAACCAGGGATGCTCCCGGAAGTAGAGTCAATTGTGCTTAATTACATGCATCTTTTACTTCAAAATCTTTAGTGGCCTCGCGAGACCAGTCAATATATAAAGCTTTAAAATCAAGGTATGATATTTTCTGTTTAAAGCATATTTATGGTATATAATGTGTTGCCTTCCGTTTAAATAAAAGGCCGAAATTTCTAACTCTTTCTTCACTCTCATCTTAAACGTACATAGAATTATATTTGAATGACCTGTTACGAGGTTTCCTCTTTTAGAAGCAGATAAGATTATTTTGTTGGTATATAATGATTGTTTGGCTGCTGAATCATTTGGGTACTCCTGGAACTTACCCCAATGTGGATTCCCCAAGCAGAAAAGGCCTTGTTTAAAGGAATCCCCTCTGAATAATTTTTGCTGGTTTGTACTAAGAACATTACTTTAGACCTGACAATACATTAAACCTTAAGTAAAACTAACTTGTAGATTTCTATCATTTTTGATTACATGTGTTTTTTAAAAATTGGGCAGTCCTTGCAGTATTATATAGTAAGTAAAAGAAAAAATATGTGTAATTATTTTAAAATCAGGTAAATCCCATCAAGATTTTTAGCAGCACCTGAGCCGACTATATTTGTTTGTAGTCCTATTTTTGTAATTTTTGCTGTTTAATGAAGATAGCATTCATCTGTGTCCTGTAATATTGTCACACTTTTTTTGTACTGTGAAAATTTTGGAGGATCTGTCTTGGGAATAGAATTTTGGTGGTCCCTGTGATAAATAATATCAGAGTTGTTTTATATGTATATTTTAGAGGTCTTTAGAAAAGCATTGGTTTTGTTTTGTTTTGTTTTTTTGGCAGTACGCGGGCCTCTCACTATTGTGGCCTCTCCTGTTGCGGAGCACAGGCTCCGGACGCGCAGGCTCAGCAGCCATGGCTCACGGGCCCAGCCGCTCCGCGGCATGTGGGATCTTCCCAGACCGGGGCACGAACCCATGTCCCCTGCATCAGCAGGCGGACTCTCAACCACTGCGCCACCAGGGAAGCCCAAAGCATTGTTATTTTAATTAAAAAATAGTATTGAGCTCTAGGTGGTAAAGAAATGGCTGTAGTCCCATTTTCAGAAGCCTAGAATGGTTTCACCTGCAAAATTGTTACCTGAAAGAATCAAGACTTTGTTTATGGCCCTTAAAGACATTTAAAAATCTACCACTGACCTCATGTAAAAACTACTGCAAATTTGAAAGAAAAAGATATTAACATAATAAGGTATGCTGAATGTTTGGAATTGAACTGGTGCAAACTGATACAGAACTAAAAGTCAACCCCCCACCTTCTAAAATACTAAACTGCAAAAACTTGCACCTTTTTTCTTTCCTTAAAGTGGGTTTTTCTTCTGTTCCTGCCCTTTTGCCCACTTCCCCTCTTTCTGAGGCAGAACGTCACATGTGCACGTGAGTGTGTGTGTGCAGTAAGTATACTTGGCAGAGGGTAGGAGGAGGAAATAGATCTTCTTTGCCAAAGATACAGGTACAAAAGTGATTCTCCATCATCACAGTGAAGGAAAGAGCTTTATGCTGGGAGCCTTCGTTGCAGGGTAACATCTCCTGTGCATTTGATACAAGACCACTGCTGCCATTTTAGCATTATGCTTTGCTCCTTGGATGAGCTGTGCTGTGCAGTCAGGGACATGTGCTATATGATGGTTAATTGAAGTGGGGTAGGAAGGGAGATCTCAGGAATCCCATCATCACCAGTGTCCCTGTCCAGGTAAACAGGGATGCCAGTTGGTCCTTGTTGGATGATAACAACATAGAAAGAATTCTGGTTTGCTATTATTTTTCAAGATTTAATTTGTCCTAAAGATTACTATGCATGGATTGATTTTTTTTCTATTTATACTTTGAGTAAGTTCTTGGCTTCATGATTTTTTTTTTTTTTTTAAGCTTCTCTTCTTTCCTAGGTAGCTTGAAACCTTTACCTACACTTCAGGATTTTTCTCATCCATTTTCCTCCCTCTCTGTAAACGCTGCCTCGTGCTGCTGCTGCTTCTTTTCTTTTTAAACATACTATTCTTTCTGTTTGGTTGTAAAGCTCCAAGAAATGAATAATCCTAAACTGAGGAAGTGTTCACTGGATCTGTTCCTGCTGCTTTTTCCCCACCAGAACACAACAGATTGCTACTGAATTTTGAATGTCATCAGCAGACAGATGATAATGGCTTAAGATGGAGAGAAGAGCGTTGTTATTCATGGATAATGAAATGTTTGAAACACAGATGGGCCTGTATATCATTTTTCTTTTTCTTAGGATTTCCTTCTGACATAAAACTTAATGTAATTAACAATGTTTTATACCAATATCCCTCATAAATGGTATCTCTGTAGCCCTATTGTTGAACTGCTACATTCATCTGTCTTTGGAAAAGACAGTCACTGCCTGATGGCTGTTCTGTTCAATGACCAGGTGGGTGAAAGGCTACCTTTACAAAAAGGAGGTTATGTGAAAAGTAAACCGTCCAAGAAGCACTCAGCTTTGATCTCAAAGGCAGTACCTGAGAATCCTATATGCAGCACTTAATCTATAGGAGGATTTGAAGTATATATTAAGAGAAGTACCCAAAATTCATAATAAGGATTTTCATTTTAGGGGCTATCAGTAACTGTCAATACTTAAACCTTCTCTTAGGTGCTTACAGGAAAAAAGAAACCAGACCAAATAGAAAAGGTTTTTTTTCTTTTAAGTACAACAGAACAGAGTCAGAAGAGGGTGAGAGATCAAGGTAATGAACTAAGATACTGATTTTTATTGTTAGGTGACAAGCCTCTTTCTGCTTTATCTCCAGCTTCGGGGGGCACTGGCCAAGATGATGTCGGTGGCCACTCAGTGGACACCCCAGACCACTACTGTACGCTTGGAAGGCTCGATGGCTATAGATCTGCTGGGCAGCGCTCAGAAACCAGGGATTCCAGCTGTCAGACTGAGGAAGTGAAAATCGTACCACCTTCGATGAGAAGGATCAGGGCGCAGAAGGGGCAAGGCATTGCTGCCCAGATGAGTCACTTCCCAGGCTCCTCTGGGAACATGTCTGTGCTGAGCGACTCTGTGGGTGTCGTGTTCCCTTCTCGTCTCAACAGTGACACTGGTTTCCACAGTCTCCCCCGGTCTGGAGCGAGGACGAACGTTCAGTCCCTGGAGCCACGGCTGGGTGCCCTGCACCCTGCAGAAGACGCAGACGAAACTCTCGCCTACCAGAGGGGTCACCTGCAAGTAGACAAAGACTTCGGACATCTAGGAGCTGCCCCAGGGACTGGAACACTTTTGAGGCCCAAATCCCAGGAGCTGGGGTACTTGGAGGGTGAAAACGTAACAAGCCCGGCGTGCGTAGTCTCTCCTCACACGACCTACTCCACCAGTATCATCCCAAATGCCGCACTCTCCTCCTCTTCAGAGGTTATTGTGATTCACACTGCTCAGAGCTTAGGGCAGCTGGACAGTAAAATTACCAGTTCGTCTTCATACACAAAGATCAAATCCAGAGACCACTTCCTCTCCAGGCAGAAAGATGATCATCATTCTCCCCGTGGTAACTGGACTGAGGGGCACCCCACCATTTTTTCACAGGCCTCAGATCCTCATTCGTCCAGTGCAACCACTGTGCTGTCCCTCTGTGATTCTGCGGTCTCTCTAAATACGCCCGCAAATCGGGAGAATGGGTCCCAGGCCATGGCCTATAATTGTAGAAACAACCTGAGCTTCCCGGTCCACCCCCAGGATCTGAACAGCAAGAGTGAGTCCAGTCATTCAGGAGGCAGGGGACACGGCGGCAGCGCGGAGCCCTGGGAATACAGTGCCTCGGGTAGTGGGCGTGCGTCCCCACGGAAGCCACATTTGGCAACTCCTGGTTACTCCACTCCTGTAGGTAACATGAGCAGTGGCAGTTTGGACCAGACGTCCAACAAAGATGATGCCAGGGCCGTGTATCCAGAGGACCACGATGGCTACTACACTTCTCTGCGCACCAACTCTGGACACGGACCTGGGAATGTTTGCAATAGCAGCGATGGCTTTGGGAAGCCGAGGCACAGCGTGGTCAATATTTTTGATGGAAGAGCGCGGAAGAACCAAGGGGACCGGTCGAATTGCCAAGACAAAAACCTTTCTCGAAACATCTCTCTGAAGAAAGCGAAGAAGCCTCCCCTGCCACCCTCTCGGACAGACTCTCTGCGCAGGATTCCCAAGAAGAGCGTCCAGTCGAACGGGCAGGTGTTGAACGAGAGCCTGATCGCTTCGCTCCAGCACTCGCTGCAGCTGAAACTCCCGGGCAAGGGCGGCAGCTCGCCCTCCCAGAGCCCGTGCAGTGACTTCGAAGAGCCCTGGCTGCCTCGCTCCCGCAGCCAGAGCACAGTGAGCGCGGGCAGCAGCCTGACCTCCGCCACCACCCCCAACGTCTACGCCCTGGCCGGGGTCACACCGGCACAGAGCGACACGAGCAGCGTCAAGTCCGAGTACACAGACCCGTGGGGTTACTACATTGACTACACGGGCGTGCAGGAGGACCCGGGGAACCCGGGCGGGGCGGGTCCAGCTGGCAGCGCAGCGTCGCCCGGAAACGGGCCAGGCCGCGATCTCCCGGACGGGTCCAGGGCCGCGGTAGCCCCGGTGCCCGATGGCGCAGTCAAACCAAAGATCACATCGCCGGAGAAGTCACACAGGGTCACTTCTCCATCCAGTGGGTATTCCAGCCAGTCGAACACACCCACGACTCTCACCCCTGTGCCTGTGTTTTTAAAGTCAGTGTCACCAGCCAATGGGCGGGGGAAGCCCAAGCCCAAGGTGCCAGAAAGGAAGTCCTCTCTGGTATCTTCAGTATCCATCTCCTCCTCGTCCACGTCTCTTTCCTCCAGCACTTCTACGGAAGGAAGCGGAACCATGAAGAGGCTAGATTCGGTGCTGGCTGCTCCCCTTGCTGCGCCTCCTCTGCCCCCTCTCCCATCTCCCTGTCCCAGGGACAAGTCTCCTTTCCTCCCTCCTCCCCCTCCACCGGCAGATTTCCCCGAGGGCTCGCCTCTGCCGGACTCTCCCCTCTTCCCCACTCCACCGCCAGAAGTTCTCACGCCCTTCTGTCCCCCCACCAACGCCTTCTTTCCTCCGACACCTACAGCACTCAGCCCCCGTCTTCTGCACTCATCTGCCTCCCTGCCACCTCCACCACCTGCCTTCCCCCCCTCGGTGCCCCCGCCTGCCCCACCGCTTGACCCCAAATTGATGAAAGATGCCAGGCCTTCTTTCAAAAAAGCTGGCCAGCCAGAGCCCTCCCGGGAGGCCTGCAGGCAGCCTTCCACCAAGGAGGAGGGCGGTAGACCCCCCATGCCCCTGATCACCACGGAGGCGTTGCAGATGGTGCAGTTGCGGCCGGTGAGGAAGAACTCAGGAACCGAGGTAGCACAGTTACGTGAACATGCATCTCAGGAAAAACGAACTCCGGTTGTTCCCCAGTATCATGTAAAGCCATCTGCTCTCGTGAAATCCCGAAATAGCATAAATGAAATGGAGAGTGAAAGCCAGCCTGCCTCCGCGACAAGCTCGCTCCCGACTCCTGCCAAGAGCCCGACTCAGGGTCACCGGGACAGTGTAGCCGAGCGTGGCCTCCCGAGCCGCAGCCCGGGCCATGCCGGGGAGGCAGAGGCCGGACCCGGGACCGCCCCGCCCCATGAACCCCCCAGCCCGTCGCCCAGCAGGAAGCCCCCCCCTGTTTCCAAGAAGCCCAAACTGTTTCTGGTGGTGCCACCTCCGCAGAGAGATTTCACGGCGGAGCCCGCAGAGAACGTGAGCAAAGCGTCGCCCAGCCCCACGAGAGGAGAGGCACAAGAGAAGTGTGCAGCCGGGGCTGGTTCCGATGAGACCGACTCTGGCAGCTCGGTTCTTGCGGGAGGAGCTTCAAGATCTGAGTCCCCGGGCAGAGTGGAAGCCAATGTCCCCATGGTGCAGCCTGATGCCTCGCCAGCCCCCTCGCGGGAGGAGCCGGGCGCCGAGCGCTGTGCGGACGCCGGGGACAACGTGGAGAGCTGTTTGTCTCTGCAGGACCCAGGGCGTGAGTCTGGTTTTCTCTTGTTCCCCTCTGACCATATGCAGCTGAGGCGAACAGGGCTGGTGCACGTTCACGTTCAAGCCAGCAGTATGTGGACTCCCTGCGCTGCCTCGTACTTAGGTTACCAACTTGGCATTTCTCTGAAAAAAAAAATTTTTTTTTTAACCTAGATCTAAGGGTAGAGCTTACAGAAGCGCAGAAAATAGAGGGGGTGGAGTGGTCGGCAGCAGGCTGGGTATTAAATAGCAGTGAGTAATCCCCTGGAGAGCTGCAAAGAAATGTTCTAACAAAATTTAAGGGAGATTCAGTCAGTTTATCTAGACTTTAACAGAAAAGCCTGAGCTGTGACTGTCATGCTTGTGTCATTTTCCCCATCTTTGTAAAAATCTTTGTAAAATATCAAACTACAGGCCCTGCTGCCTCTCCCTGTGATTCTCCCGTTGTCAGAATGGTAGGGAAGTATATTTGGGAGCTTGGCTAAGGACTGAAATTCAAGTCATTTGTGCATCTTGTGTCTGCCTGCTTGTCTCTCCACAGCTGGGGTACCGGAGGCTGACACAGCCGGTTCTTCCTCAGAGGCCTGTGACTTCTGTAAGGAAGATGGGAGTGATGAGGTGATGACCCCCAGTAGACCCCGGACCACGGAAGACCTTTTTGCAGCTATTCACAGGTATCCAAAACTCCTTCCTCTTTTTTGCACCTACTTTGTGAGTCCCCCTTTCCAAATCGTTTCTCGATGTATTTTTCTTTCTTGAGGTTTCTGCTGTCACCCAGTTAGGCTTCATTAACCTGATTATTGATTTCTTAGTTTGTGTCTATATTTTTATTTGCCTTGACTCCAATTTCTGTTTTACTTAGTTCCACTGATTTTTATGATCATATGGGGGACAGAGGCTCAACGTGATGATGCCATTTGGTTGGCCCTTCTCTTACTAGCAAGAAATGCAGTGTCGCTATATTTGATTGGATATTTACAGCAGTTGGGTTAGAGTAGCCGGTGGTCCAGTCCAGGATGAGGGATGCTGTGTTCTAATGGACTTAAGATGTACAGACTAGCCATACGGGACTTCTTCTTTCCTAACAGTGTTTGGTTTTATTGCTGTTATTATTTTCATTTTACAGAAAAACTAGGATTTTATAGTGTAATATCTTTGGCTACTGAAATGTTTCAGTAAAAGTGCATCTTTTTTAAGCAGGAGCAAAAGGAATTAAACTTGCTTGTTACTATATACTGCTAGTGCCATCTACTGGCATAAGAAGTTATTGGGTTTAAAAAAAATGTAGAGTAAAATTTTCAGAATAACTGCCTGAACTGTTGTACTCTTTACATGTGATCACCTTGAAGAGTGAATATGACTTAGCACTAAAGTTTTATTTACTACCTCATTTTTCTGGCCATAAACAGTTGAGTACTCCCACAACGGTTTCATTGTAAAAATGGATATGATTGTGTTCGTGCAAGGACTTTAAACTATATGCTGTATAAACCCTTTACTTCCTTCTAAAATTCTTTACCATAGTATTTTCAGATAATTCTTATGAATGCCCCTGTGCTGCCAAGGTCCCTGAATCAAGGTCCCTTTTTTTCCTCCTGAAACTAAACATCCTGTAAAATCATTTGATTCTCTGTGTAAGTAACCTGTGTCAGCAGTGCTTTCCCAGTTCTTGGAATCTAACTGAAAAGACTGTTATTGCATGAGATGGAAAGCAGAGGCTGTGCAGTCCCTACCTGCGATTCCTCGTGCAACATGTAAACATCTAACTTAGGGGGGAAAAAACCAAGCTGATGAATTAAGGTGTTTGTCAAGAATTATGTTCTTTAACTCTTGACTCCACTACTGGTATAATGTCCCAATAGACCCTAAAGACTGCCTCTTTAACATTGTCTGATCGCTCTCTGTGCTCTCATTAGAAATAAAAAGGTAGCTAGTGATCACATTATTCCTCCAAATAGGGAAATAAAAATTCCACATCCTTTGAAAGCAACTTCAGTGACATGTCTAGAGGTTTACGCTGATGTTTCTAACTCGAGTCATGCTGGACACCTAACGAGCTCTCAATGACTGTGTAACTGTCAGGAAATTCTTCCAAGGCTCAACTTCTCCCGTTCGGCATTGGGTTGGTAAATATGCAGGTATATATATTTAAAACAGCATCCACAGAGAAGATGTGTTGCCTGGTTGCTCTGTGCACTAAATACTTGGTCTCAGAGAGAACCCCAGCTGTTGTGGGGCCACATTACTACACACTTTCCTAACAAGATACCAAGGATCTCCTCTGTATTTTATTGTGGCAACCTTCTTAAGGCACTAAAAGACTGTGGTTTCTCCTACCAACGAGTTACATCTGCTGCAGATGCAGAAATTGGCCAGTCTGTATTGTTCTGTGTACACGACAGAAGGAAAGACTGAGTAGGGTATGGATTACAGAGTGAGAGTAAGGATGCAGGCTAATTTTTAGTAGATGGATGGATGGATAGATAGACAGATAGATAGATGCAGGCTAATTTTTAGTAGATGGATGGATGGATAGATAGGCAGATAGATAGATAGATAGATAGATAGATGCAGGCTAATTTTTAGTAGATGGAGTTATAGATATAGATAATATATTAGCAGACATAATAGGAAGCCATCTAAAGTCTGTGATTTTTAGGGCTTTATTTTATATCCTTCAGTACCTAAGCTAATAATCTAAATTAAAGAATATCTAAAGTGAAACACAGCTTTCAAATTTTATAATGCAAATTAATTCACTTCAGATTTAAAGCCAGATGGAAAATGTAGAACACCAGTTGAGGTGTGAAGTTTTTATCCTCATTGAAGTAATTTAAAATTTTTTTTGAAGTAATTAGTTTTTAAGCCAGTGTTAATTGTTCAAGCGTTTTTTATAACCATTTTCCTTAGAAACACACACATATTTATAGTCTGTGTGTATATATATACATACATATATGCAGAGAATTCATATATTTAGTTTTAATTCTCATCTTAGTGGGCAGTTACTCTTGAAAAACAACAATACTTTTATAAATTCCCGTCTTCATTCTAAATCTACAATTAAAGGTTGTGGCTTTGATCAAGCATAGCTATGGCTCGTTATGTGGATCTCAGCACGCCTTCTCCATGTAAAAGCCAAACAGAAGAGCCACATTTAAAAGCCACAAACCAATACCTACAAGAATCAGATGAGCAGAGGTGTCTTTGGGAAGCAAACAGTATAAATTGTGAGGTCATGTGCTCTACTGGAAAGGTACTCCATCAGGTCTTACTTCTTGTATTAAGCTGTATGACTTCACTCTCTAGACCTCGATGACCTTCTCTGGTCAGACCAAACCACCTAAATGTTTTCCAGTTCTGAAATTCTGAGGTGTTATTGTTTCTGTGGTTTTCGTCAGTGGGTCAGCAACTTAACTCCAGAGCAACGCTCTTGTTGACAGCGGAACAGAACTGTTGAACCAAAGTATCATAGGCCAGTCTCTGCTGTCCTAAAGGGGCTGGTGCTATGTCAGCCCTGGCCACCCCCTTCAGCCTCTTAATTGGGTTTTTACCACTTCCTGTCTTCCATTTTAGTGGCTTCTTTTTGGCCAGAGCACAGAGAGGACCCTGGGAGCACCAAGCCCAGGGCAGCCATCATGGGCCCATCCTCCCCTGTGCCTCGATGTGCAGGACAGGTAAAAACAGCACTGAAGCCTGAGCTGAGAGCAGGAAGGAAGAATTATATTTCCCTAAATGACACTGAAAGTCTTGTTAGGCACCTACTCTATGCCTGACACTTTATGGCTATGACTGCATTTATCTTTATTGATAAGCTCTGAACTGTCTACTGTTATTCCTCTTTTCCAGACAGGAACCAGGATGAGAAAGTTTAACATGCCCCAGTTTATAGAGCAAGGAAGCTTTAGCAGTGGGTGTACCCAGGTCTGTGTGACTCCAGAGGTCCTTTATCCCACTGAATCCTCACAAACCTGTGAGGTTGTTATCATCATCCACATTTTACAAGTCTGGAAAACTTGTAAATAGATGAGTAACTGGTCCAGGGTCACACAGCTAGAAGTTGCTCAGATTCAACTCTTAATCTCTATGTTCGGACAGCATCCTCTCAACCTTTGCCTGTTGCATGTTCTAGAATTTTATAGCAGAAAAAGAGGTATAACCACATCTTTAGTAAATATATCAAGTTTCCTTATAGCCAGTCCACCTGCACTTAGCTGAGAGATTCCTCCCACACTGAGTTGTTGGTATGAAGAGACCTGCAAGGGGCCACTTGGTACATCTGCTTTATTTTCTCTAATGCATTCTCAGTAGAAGACACATTAGCCAGGAGTTTCTTAGAGACTGGTTATAAGAAATTCCCCCAGGACAGTTTTACTTTTCCTGAAGGCCCCTCCTCTTTCACATGCTACCCACATCCCTCACGTTTGCTTGCTCGGCTAGTGGTTCTCTGCAGTCAGGCAACAGGATCTGATGTGGAAGGTTCACTCTTATTTTCCAGAAAATTGGATTTCTAGGAGTTGACGAATGGTCCAGTAAGAGCCAAGGAGAGCTGGTTTTATGCCAAACTCTAGAATGATGGAGAGTGTAAAGTTGCAGAGTTGTTCTAGAACCTGAGGTGGGGGCCTGTCTCAGTATGTAGGACATTCTAGGAGTTGGCTTATCTATTAGGCCAGTGGTCCCCAACCTTTTTGGCACCAGGGACCAGTTTCGTGGAAGACAGTTTTTCCACGGGGTGGCGGGGGGGGAGGATGGCTCAGGTGGTAATGAGAGCAATGGGGAGCAACAGATGAAGCTTCGCTCGCTCGCTCGCCCGCCGCTCACCTCCTGCTGTGCGGCCCGCTTCCTAACAGGCCCCGCTACCCCGCGGCCCGGGGGTGGAGACCCTGTATTAGGCCGTTCGAGTGCCAGCACCATGAAATTCACTCAGCCTCAGTCCCATACAGAAGAGTTAAGTAAGAAATGGCAGTGATTAAAAACGTTGGAAATGGTCCTATCCAAAGTAAGATAATATGATGTTTGAGATTTGTGTCAGAGTAATCCAGTGAGGGTAGAAATGAAAACAGGGTGGCCATAAGTTAATAATTATCACAGCTGGGGCATGGGCACACATAGTAATACAATGAACTATTCTTTGTGCCTGGGTGTTTGGTACTTTCCATAGTGAAAATAATAGATGGTGACCTTAACGTGCGGTGAGAGAAGCAGGGTGGATGTGGTGGGCATCCAGTGGCCCCCCCGGGAATTAACCTTCATCTTAACGTTCTGAAATCTCAGGTCTAAGAGGAAAGTCCTTGGCCGTAAAGATTCCGATGATGATCACTCCCGAAACCATTCTCCCTCCCCGCCAGTGACACCCACTGGTGCTGCCCCCAGCCTGGCCTCCCAGAAGCAAGTGGGATCGATTCAGAGAAGCATACGGAAGACCAGCACCAGCAGTGACAACTTCAAAGCTCTGCTGCTGAAAAAAGGGAGTCGGTCGGACACCAGTGCCCGCATGTCCGCAGCCGAGATGCTCAAGAACACAGACCCCAGATTCCAGAGGTCAAAGTCGGAGCCTTCGCCGGACACCCCCGAGAGCCCATCAAGCTGCTCCCCGAGCAAGAACAGAAGGGCCCAGGAGGAGTGGGCCAAGAACGAAGGCTCGATGCCGCGGAGTCTGTCCTTTTCTGGCCCCAGGTACGGCCGCAGCCGAACTCCGCCTTCCGCCGCCAGCAGCCGGTACAGCGTGCGGAACCGGATCCAGAGCAGCCCCATGACCGTCATCTCAGAGGGCGAAGGGGAGGCCACGGAGCCCGTAGACAGCAGGGCTCTCCGGCCCCTGGGCGCTCTGAGGGGACGTTCGCTGGAAGCACTGGTGGGGGACGGAGTGGGTGAGGGCAGCCTGCTCTGTGCAGGGCAGCCCGCTGCCTCGCGGGGGGCGCAGGCTCCTGGCCCCACGGAGGGGCGGCCCAGCGCAGAGGGCACGGATCCATCAGAACAGCGTGGAGGTCCCCAGAGGGAAGAGAGCTAAGGGCAAGAACCTCCCAGGTGACATGGGGAGATGTGCAGCACAGCGCTCTGGGAAGCCTGACAGGTACCCTTCCCTGCCTTGTCCACGGATCCCGCTCAGCATCTGTGCTGTGGGCCCGGCACGGCCGGCCCCGCAGCGGAAAGGGAGGGCTATTTAGGACTCACTTGGCACTTGCCCTGTGGCTTAAAAGCAAGTAGAAGCTTAACTTCTAAAAGTGCTTCCTGGGGAAGATTTTTTTTTTTTCCTCTAAATGCTGGGTGTGTGTGCAGGGATGTGGATGTGTGTGCATTTGGAACACTTTTTATGTTAAAAAAAAAATACAGCATGTACAGAAATAGGAGAGACAGCGTTAAGCTAGGTAGAGTAATGGAGCCTTCTGAGCGAGGTGGTAACTGCTTTAAAAGTGTTACGTTTATGGAAATTAATGAGTTCCAGAAGGGAGAGGACCATTACTTCTGAGAAAGAGGGGGTAGATTTGCTGGTTCTGAGCGCACAGAACGGGTGGGGATGTGCACAGGTGTGCTTTCAAGGGGGGCCATGTAGTGGTTACCCCAAAAGTTGGTAAGGGGCTAAGTGACTCATTGGTTCAGGTACTTTTTTCTGGGGAAAAAAGGCTTTGTTTCTTTTTTGTAAAAATGACAGATACGTGGACATGGCAACGCTGTAACTCGGAGTCTGCTGCTGTGCAGCCACAGACACACAACTTCTAGCCTGGTTTGTAGAAATGTAGGTAATTTTTTAATGACTTTCCTCCTTGAGCAGCAGCTGAGACCTCCTTGGAGAGCTGAAATGACAGTGGCACATACAGAGAGGGTAACAGAGATGAGAAAGGGGAGAGGAGTAAGTGATACACTGCTGGAATTTGTTTCCTGCTTATTAAATGAAATTATTTTTCAGAATTAAATTTTAAAACTTGCACTACAGAACTGTGGGTGGAGCCTTTCCTTTTACAACTTTTTTTTTTTTTAAACCAGAGTTGAAACTTCCAGTTGGTGATTTCTTATCACTTGAAACGTCAACATCTGCTAACTTTTGGATATCCTTTTGGTTACACCAAAGAAAACGTTAATGCTATTTTTCCTTGAACTGCCTGCCGTATCGTGTCCTCACTTAGAAAGGTTTATCAAAATCTATTCTATATTATCTTACTTTGAAGAAAATGCTGAAGAGCTCTTTTTGGTCAAATAAACTGATAAAAATTGGCAGGCCTTGGCTCTTAATTAGCCCTGGGAAATGAATTTTTAGATTAAAAAGATTTTTTGCATCATTTGGTTTGTGTGTTTTTATATTTTTTACAAATAGTTGAGTTCACTAATTACCTTCTAATCTTCTCTGGTTAGAATTTTAACACTTTTAGACATGGAAGAAAAGTGTGTAAAGTATTTATTTTTATGTGATATTCTTGTGACCACTTCCAACTGCCATGTACATAGACTCCTTTATTTGTTGGTTAAATAAAATCAGTCTTGTCTTCATCAGAAGGACTTAAGATGAGAGGACTGAGATTATTAGCCTAAATACAGTGCAGCTGCCAATTTTCATCTTTTTTGGTATGAAAATATCATCTAAAAGTTGGACTGCACAGGCCCAACCATCACAAGGTTTATACAGTAAAACATTAGGTACCCATTTTAGACACGGCTTTGAGACAAAAACAAACCTAAAGAATTGAGACTCCTTCCATCCTCTGAAGAAAACAAAACACGTCTTTTCACACAACAAGAAATCAAGACCTGACATTTGGCCAAGAGCAAAAGGACTTTCTACCACTTGGAGCAAAGCGTCTGCTACATTGGGCGCAAGAATCTTTTCTCCTAAATTTTAGAAAAGTGGCATTGGCTTTGGAATATGAAATCTTTTCATAGCTACCTAAAAAGGATGAGAATGTACGTGGATATCAGAAAACAAATTTAATATATAAATCATTTATGTTGAAGGTAAGATAAGCACCCTCAAAACTAATTATAAAGCTCTTTTTAAAATTCCCATTTTTAAAGGAAAAATATATTAAGTTTTTTAATTTGCTTTGAATAAAACAATTGTAAAGCAAACGTTTGAACCTTTTTTGTTCTTGCTGTTTGTACGTGCATCTTTGAATGGTGAGCTAGGTCTTCTGGTTACAGAACTGCTGAGTGCTTCACTGGATACGAACAGAACGGCAGTGATGACCAGAAGGTGCCTGTGGGAAGTGGGGACCCAACAGAGAGGAAATAGACCATCACAGACACTGTGGGTGGTGCCGTCCAAAAGGACCTAGGGAAAAGCAACTCTAAGAGGTGTCCTATGGACTTTTGAATAAAATCCCAGTAAGGTATCGACTGAGAGTTCAGGTGATGTGACGTGTAGAGAGATGCGAGAACTTCTCACAGCATGGTTGAAATATAGGGAGACAAGGATCTAGACTTACCCCGGCAACGCACGGCACCTTCAGCTTTGCTACTTTGTGGGGCTCGATACTGTTAATGCCCATATGTACTTAAAAACTCAATGAGGACAGACTTATTGACTCTCCCCTATAGCCCGAGACTTTAAAGCCCCAGAGCTAAGCTATTTCCACCTTGTTTTTCTAAGAGTTGGGAGAGAAACAAATGACCATTTGGTCTGTTGGTTGGAAGCAGCCTCAACTTTCATCTGATTTCTGCCCTCCTATTTCTGAAAAATGTTGATTGAAACCATTGCTTCTCCTGTGGGGATGAGAGCGTATTTGGGGAACCACAAGGACAAGGAAAGAAAAGGAGACATTTCTGGTTCTCGATCTTATTTCCCATCCACCAACACCACGCCCAGCTCTGGGGTGGGTGTCCCAGGAGGACAGGGGAAACACAGGATTAGTTTTCTGCATGAATGTGTTTTCAGCACATAAATTGAATTTGAACAATTGTTTATATTGCTGGGGTGCCGTCATGAAATGGGTACAGTAGGATGATTTCGCAGACATTAGGATATTGTTGGGCGGGTAGGGGGAAGGAGGTCTTTCGAATAAAACATGGACCCGATTCTTGAGGTTCTGTAATAAGCTATTCAGTTACTATAACATAGTTTCTTTCAGTGAGCTGCCCTAAACTGCCTTCCACACAGGCCAGCCTTCATTCACAGAACAAGAACTAGAGCAATCTGTAGTCACTTGTTCAGCATTGAAAAAAAAAAAAGCCTTTTATTAAATACTTCTCATGTGCTAGGTAAGGAAGAGAGAGTTCTAAGAAAAATGTGGATGAGAGATCATTAAGGTGCTTCCAACCTGGTGAAGAAGACACACAGTGAACTGTCAGAGTAGACGAAAAGGAAGAACCTGGGCAGACGTTGCTGCGCGCCCTCCCGCACCGTGTGAGTTCCCCTTTACCAACAGAACACCTGATCAGTCAGCCAGTGCGATGGGGAACTCTGGGGAAAAGATCACTTACCTAAGGGGTCCTGTGGTGGACAGAAACAGCTAGGTCCTTTACCACTGTCTCACGTGGTCTTTGGCAAGAGACTAGCCATGCACCAAGTAACATACTAGTACCGCCCACCCCACCAGCTCCCACAATCCAACGGGCCATGTGGCACGGTTTTGGCCAGTGAGACTGGCAACAGTCTAGGAGTTGCCAGGAGAGTTGCTTTCCTTAGGTAGGTGCCATCCCCTTCCTCCTTTTATCCCTAGAGTGGGTGGGAGGCTGGAGGAGGAACAGTACTCTCGAAACCTTTGAGGCACCAATAAGGACGGAAGAAGCCACATGTTGTGGAAGGCGGAGGAGAAAGGAGCCTGGACCATTGATGACAGCCAGAGTCACTGCACCAGCCTCGGGCTGTCTACCTCCAGACCCACTGGGTAAGTCATTTGTCACCTGCTTTGCAGCTGAGTGGTGCTGTTCTCAGAGGAAGATAAGAGAGGGATTGGCTATGGTGCACCTGAGCTAAGAGTGTACGAATGAGGAGGATTTTGCCAGACAGGGGAAGCTGGCAAACGAAAGACACTCCAAACGGAGGGGATAGCATGAGCAGAGGCACAGAAGCAAAGTGTTTAGAGGAAACCAAGGAGCTAAAATAGGAAGTCTCTAGAAAAACGAAGTGGGACATGAGACTGGAAAGGTCATCTCAGGCAAGAATGTAGAGGGCCTGGGATGTCATCCCAGGTAATTTGGGTTATGTTTGTAGTACTGGGAAACAATGAAGGTTTTTAAGAAGGGGAATGACGTGACCTGCCTGGGGTCTTAGCCTTTTCTCAAGCTACTCTCTCCCTTGGTAACTGCATCTAATCCCATAGTGTTACATTAATGTAATATATACCCGTCACTCCTGAGTGTCTCCTGTCCTGACTTCATCAGTATATCAGTTGCCTACTCAGAATCTGCATTTAGAGGTGTTTTAAACTTAAATATATCCAAGCCTTTATCAATGGGTGTTACCACTCACACAGTGGCTCAGGCCCCAAGTCTAGGCTCATCCTTATGGCCTCTCTTTTCACCCCACATCTAAACCAGAAGCAAGTCATGTCAGCCATATTGCCAAAATATATCACAAATCCAATCACTTCTCACCAGTTCCACTGCCACCTCTCAGGTCCAAACTATTATGTCAGACTACTGCAGAAGCCTCCCAACTGGTTTTCTTCCCTTTATCATGCATCTTCAACCACCCTCAATTCACCCTACAAAATTGCTTTTAAAAACAATTCAAGCACTCCCCTGCTTGAAACGTTCCAAAGACTAGATGTTACAATTGGAATAGGCTTCTAACTTCTAGCTGTGGCCTGCAAGGCCTTTAAGATCTGCCACTATTCCCCTCTCTCAAAAGGTTCGCCTCATTCTTCTTTCTGTACCCTGATAGATGCTACTTCTGGACTTAGAGACTTTATTCTAACTATTGAAAAGAAAGGTGCCTGTATTTCTGCTGGTTTAGGTTCCTTAGGAAGTAGACACTGTAACACATTTGAAAGGAAAAGGGAGGAAAGAGAATGGGGCGGGCAGAGCTAACACCCTGCAGCACTGATCAGTCAGCTAGGTCCTTTATCAGTGTCTTGCTTGGTCTTTTGCAAGAGGCCACCCTGAGAAGAGTGTGCCCTCAATTTCCACAGCTTAGTGAAATCACTGACCACTTATCCTGCCTGCCTTGAGAAATAGCATGGCCTCAGCTTGAAAGCTAAGGTGGACCTTTTGAAGCCAATAGTTGGAGGCTGTCAACCGTGCACACTTCTTGCAGCTGGATGGCAAGTCTTTTCTTGAGGGGGGATATAACAGCACATCTCCATGCCTGCCACACTCCACCACTTGCACTGTTTGGATCCAGTTCCGCATAAGCGTGTGGAGAGCAGCTCCTCCAGGGCTCTGGTGGACCTCTCTTCCTGAGGAGAGATTTTAAAAGAATTTGATAGGACCAACTATAGAACCTTCCAGCAAATAGTGTCCAGGACACAAGTGGCACTCATCGTCCCCCACCTCCACTCTAAATTCCTTTCACCCTCAACTATCACCTCTGTGGGGCTTGGGGCTTTTCCGATGGTGTGAACCAAGCCCTCATTCCAGAGTGTTCTGAAATCCTGGGAGCCAGGGTGGCTGTACTTGCCTGTGGATAGACAATTGGGGAAGGAGTACAAAGGGTGCCCCAAGTGGGCCCTCTAGTTCCCCACCTCATGCAACTGTAGGCTTGCCTACAGTTCAGGGTCAGTTGCCCCTGACAAGATGGTGACTCTTCTTGCCTGCCGGTCCCTGGATACAAAAAGACCAGAGAGCCCAGCTGGCAGCGGTAGGTTGAAGTTCAATGGAACCCTTGCTGTGTTGCCAATGGGGAGTGTACACCTCTGAGAACAAGGACCTCTGGCTCTGCAGAGTTGTGGGGTGGAAAGTCCTACATCCCTAGTGGTTCATTGGGAGTGACTGATGATAAGTGAGGTCACTCCTCCTTCTACCCCTTGGTTCCCAGATGCATGTGTCCTTCCTATTATAGACACAGCAGCATACAGGTTCTCTGATCTAGTAAGTGTACTGTGTTTGGGAGATGGCGCCCCATCTTGGCAGGGTATTGCCTCCAGCCAGGCACTAAAGCAAGTCATTCCAATATGCTCTCAGGCCAGCAGCTTCTAGGTGGTGCAGTGTGTCAGAGAACCAGTGGCTCCTGCGGCCATGAGCTAACTCTCCCTGATTGGATGTTATGATGTGTAGATCACACGTTCTGTAAATCCACGCCAGCGGATCAGAGACTTTGTAAGTTTCTAGACTGTGGTGCTGGGCAAGGCCCTGTGAGCAGGAAAGAAAGCTGCATACCCAGAATAGGTGTTAACCCTGGTGCCAATGAATTGCTGGCCTGCCAGGAACGAATGAGTCTGATATACTCAACTTGGTATCAAATGACAAGTCAGGCTTCCGACAGCCTTACCAGTGTCTCAGCATTGGTATGTATTGCTGGCAGGTTGGACGTTCAGATTCAGCAGTATCTAGGTTGGCCTTGGTAAGTGGGAGTCTGTATTTTTGGGGGGGGTCCATGCATAGCCTCCATCTTTGCCACCACGGCCACTATATTTGTGTGCCCATTGTACCAGCCCTGGGGTGGGCACCAACAAGAGCTAATACCAACGGGCAAAGTCATTTCATCTACCTGGTTGTTTAGTGCCTCTTCCAGTGGGTACTTTCTAGCGGGCCTTAACATATGATACGGTTTTTCAGGCTCTGTGCCTGTTCCCAGATGTCTAACCATATGCCTCTACCCGCAGACCTTGTCTCAATTCCATTCTTTTTCTTTTCAAACTCCTGACCAGTTGGACAAGCCATTGGCCACTGCCAAGATTCCATATCTATTTTAACTTTTCTCTCTCACGAAGTGAGTGACCAGGTCCATCACCAAAAATTCTGCCTTTTGTTTTGCAGAAGATTTTTTTTCTCGAAGCTTTCTTTCGACGTCACCCCTGAATGGGGGTGTAATGCAACTGCTGTCCATCTCCAGCTCGGGCCACAGTAAGCCAACCCACTGACCAAAAAGCAGGCTCAAGTCCCTGCCCACCCCCCTCCAGCCTATCTTACAGGTCCCAACAGCCATAGGGAGGGAGCAACGTGGGGGCAACCGTAATGACATGG